TTAACTGTGCGTCGTTTTACCTAACTTCAAACGTGTCTAACCTTTAAGTTGTAATTTATTCATGAAATAATTAATCCAAACTATTAATTAAAGTTTCCAAACCGTTACAGATTAACTGTTTGTGAAACTGAACATTCGTGTGCACCTACTTAATTGTGTAATTCAATTGGGGTCTAATAATATGTCCTGTCGCAGTTTATTTTGAACTTTACTGTTAATGCTTTAGGATTTAAAATCGAGTTTTGAAATTTGACAAGTTTATATAATATACCCTCACTTCGCTGTATGAAATAATACTTTTAGCAACTGTGCCCGCCATAATAGTATTAGTACCGACTTATGTTTTTTATCGCGCTAATACAACTGTCGAGATATAAACAAATAAAATATTTTTAAGAAGATATTACTTTTTTTTTTACTTTTTTTAATATACTATCTGATAATGGTGAGATCAATATTTTCGGCAATGTATTTGAAAATTTTTTATTAGCTATGTTTATAAGGTATAATGTAGGATTTTGATGGTAAATTAATTTTTCAAATTGGTCTGGTAGTTTGAGGGCCTACTCAATGTAAACAATGAAATCTTTATCAATATAAATATTACACATTGCTCAGATTCGAAGAATAGTAGCTAAAGTACACTTATTGTGGAGTATCATAAACAAAGAAGGTGACACCCAAACCCGAGACAACATTGAAAAGCTAATTTTCTACATTAATCCGACCGTGAAACAAACCCGGGATCTCAGAGTTAGCAACACCTTGCATCTGTCTTGCAAGCCACTCGACAACGGAGTTCTTATAATATTACAGTTCAGATTTCTAGAGTCGTTTTTGGATGAAATTAGGATAAGAGTCCCATTTTTTAAGTCGACATGCATAAATTGAGATACACGATCTTAACGGTTAAACTCAGAAGATCAGAAGTTCATAAAAAGAGTATAAATATATAAATGCGTCAAGTACTCGTTTATTAATTACTGCTAGGTTTAGCAATTTCGAGTAGTTCACAAGTTACTAGGTGGAATAATGATGTTCAAAAGCACACAGCTTTTCGATCATTACTGTGATTGAACATTACTAATTTGCACATATTCGCAATAGACCTCAGATTCTAATCTAACCTCTAATCGATTTTGAACATCTTCTTTTTCTGTCGGTCGCTGTTTTGAAATCTTGATTTTCAATAAAAAGCTAAACCAAGTTTGTGGTGTAAAACAGTGTACATCGCAATAGGATCTAATAATTATTTAATACCTAATCTGCAGACGGCAATGTTCAAAAATAATTGCTGATAATTGTTTACTTATAGTACTCGTAGAAAACTTATTGGACGGAAAATGGACGTACCTCTTTTGAGAAATCAACAGAATCACTTAGATTCGTAACTTCAAGTAATTGTTATAATTAACTCCAATAATAACAGTCCATCAAAGAAGAACTTACTATATCTACCTGGTGGTTAAATTTATCCCATGAAAATGATACTATCCGCTATGAATATAATTGTAAAATGCAGTCTGTTATCACTCTCGAGGATTCATCATGTTGTATCGATGTTTAGGTCATCGTTCGATATGGCAATGTCACTCTGACTGTTGCTATATTACCTGGCCTAGAACACTATATAAATGTGATGTCAAATAAATGTCATATATAATTGGTGCTTTTTAAATGTATAGGGATGAATGATACTAGTAAATACAAGTATTTAGGTCGTTTGTGCGCTACACTGAATTTTCAGGTCCGGCATACCGATTTTTTCCGGTCCGATATGCCAGGTCATATGTAAGAAATACCAGCCTGTGCATTGTCAGGAATTTCACAATCCGTAATTTTACTTTTATCTATTCCGGTTCGTTTTTTCGGTCCGAGATGACGGCAATGAAAAACGTGTTTAAGATTGTGCACTGCTGTGTCCGCGATCCGGAAAATTCATGAGCCTGCGGAGTGAGGCTTGGCAAAAATTATCGATATTATTGATTATTTCGGTGATATTGTTAATTTTCGATATATTGAAAATCGATATTTATTGTAGAGTATGAAATCGATATTTTATATTATGATTCAATATAGTTGGTAAATATCACTGCATATGCCTTGGCAAATTCAATATAGTTCTAATTTGATCATCGTATGGTACTAGTATCGATACTTTGCTAGATGCTAGAATCGTATTAAGAGTATCAATGCCTAAACAATATTGAATCAAAAGTATCGATAACTTAAGGTAAGACAAATAGGTGTTGTTACGATTCCACGCCTAAACAACTGAACCAATCTTGATGAAATTTGATACAGAAATATTTTATCGCGAAAAATAGGTAGAAATAGGGAATAGAAATTTGCATGGCAATTGTCATTATCAAAATTTGTTTTTGGCCAATTATTTCCAAAAGTATTCTGAAAGAAAAAACAACTGCCCTAAAAAAATATACCACACGTATTAAATCACGGACAAAAGCTAGTTTGTATATATATATAATGCAGCCAACTGATCTTACAATGGTTATTGACATTCAAAACTTACAATAGGATGGCTGATTTAAATGCCACCGTAAAGTTCATTTAACATATTATTTCTCCGCTTACACGGCTCTAATTTTGCTTTGTTTACAAAATGACGTCTACGATTGTTCTGTCTCTGTAATCGCTTGAAGTTGTTTTTACAAAATTTCAAGGAAATATTGCACGATTTTAAATTTGAACATCAAGTACGAAAACATTATTAGTAATTTTATTCGAATGTCACAGATATTTTTAGCTATTGTATGTGAAAAATGCTGTTCCTAAATTAGTAAGGGTATAAGTTTGTCTCGTGATAACGATATATGTTATAGCATCGAAATAATTTTTATCACCTATTTAATCAAAATAACCTATAACCATAACCAATAAATAAATTGAGACTTAACTACTTTTTTATATGTTCTTTTTCTATCTTCTACGTCTTCACACGTAGAGTAATAAAGCAATCAATCGCCGACGTTCCAAAAATCTCATCGTACCTAGCGTAAGTGACGTGTAGCTGCACAGAGAGCTGCCCTAAAGTGTGCCACTCTGGTCCGGAAAAAACGGACATAATAAGCTAATCATCCGGGTTTTTTTGTGATTCCGGACCGGAAAATATCGGACTGCCCGACCTGAAAATTCAGTGTAGTGCACAAACGCCCTTAATCTATACTTTTCTTTCAATACTAAGTTTTTTTAGTATTGATACTTTAGAACCGAGTAACAAGTAGTATCGTAAAGTATATCACTCACTCAGGAGAGTCAAAAAAATCACGTGTATAAGACTGTTTACTCTGAAGTAAGGTGTCTAAAGTCAGTCTCTTGAAAAAGTCGCATAGGCGCCGCGTCTCTGTCGAAGTAATACCTTACTATATTAATCATTTCTTATGCCTGGACCTGCTTCTTTCTATAAGCAGAGTTTTGCTATTGGCTATCAATAGTATCAAATCTGCTCTAAAAATTTATAAAAATGACGACGATAGTGAGGAATTTTAAAACTATTCCATGCAAGTAGGTATCGATACCTTTCATTCGATACTAAGGTGGTATCAATACCTCATCACCGATACCGTACCGAGTAAAAGTATCGATACCTACGTGGTATTGTTTCATGCCCATAAATAAATCAGTATTTCACTGAATATTAAACAATTCTAATTTTATCTTTAACTTCTAGACATGGAAAAAAATTGAGTAGCAAAACACGTTATTTCCATCTTTTCAATTGTAAAAGAAATTTCTTTATCAGTGTTTTATTTACTGTAATGCCGAAAGCTTTGTTTATTATGATAATATTCACAAGGAGCTCTCGAGATTAGGTTTACTGGTTGTTATTTTTTCATTTACCTTTTTACGCTTTCAAGGCTGAACATTCGTGGCTAATTAATGTAATTATTCTGGAGAAATAGGAACAGGATTGTAATGGTGGAATAATTCGAGGATTTTGTATTTTGTAATTTAAATTAGAAAATCGTTTTACAATATCATAGAATTAAGTAGAGGCAATCCTTGTTTTTACTTTTTCTACTTTATGTCATTAGTACGAGTATAAAAAAATGGATCCAGAAACAATATATTACATAAATTTAAGAACTGACAGAACTTTATTTCAGTGAAATACTAGAATATCAATATATATATGTTTAGAGTTAATATTCCTTCCCCGCAAGAGATATAGATATAAAAACAAGCTGTTTTCTGGCCATTTGGAAAAATAATATGTATATTTTATCCACGTAAGATGAAACTTCTCGTAGCTCTTAAAGAATTTTCATGATCAGATCAGCATCCGAAGAATATTCTCTATAAACAAGTTAGCAACTATCTTTTTACCTACATATACCTAGAAGACCTATAAGAGTCAGGCATTAGAAAACGTTATATCTAACAACCTCCACATTTAAATTATACCTAAAAGATGCAGGATACTCCGCGCAGGAAAGATATCGCACATGATAATAAACGTAATTAACTTAAAAAAAGTTTTATATCTGATATTTAGATTATTTTCCCTTTATTATTATTTGCGGAACAACGTACAAGAGCTGTTTACACAAGTGATCGTTGGGGAACTTAATGACTCAAGAAATCTGTAAAGCAAACTATACTGTTCTAAGAAAAGTTGTACTGTGTTGATTGTCATGTTCGATGAGTTAAGTTTGGTAGTGATTGCGAGAATTCCAAATTCGGATGTTGTGTTTATTTGCAAACGAAGCAGGTATCTTGCGAATAATGAGAAAGAGCAACTTTCAGTTGGTGACAAATTTACAAATTTTGAACTTCAAAAATTGCCAAATTAAGCCAAAACTAACAATAATCTAAATTCGAGATATCTTTGTAAATAATCATCATTTTTAACATAAACCTAAAATTCATCAATACATAAGCTTGTAAAAAATCAGCATACAATCTGATAATTTATCTTTTAATCATACATCATAATTTATATTAAAGAAAACTGAAATTTATTTTCCCAAATTCCTTAGATTGTTGAGCAAGTTGTCTCCATTCACGCCACACGCTCGGCCCGACGACATGTAAGTGGCGCACGCCATTTCATGGCTTGCTTAGTTGCACTGCGCCCTATCGTCCTTATAGTACGGCATATGGACTGCTTACGGAACGACAATGTTTTTCGAGGCAATTACCCTAATTTTCTTAACCATTTCGATGAAACTTGATCTTATTAATTTCCTCCTCTATTTATTTCAAATTATATATAATCTACTTAGACTGTCCACTGACTTCTTATGTAACTTACAAAGTAACAGATTGCTATTAATATATCAATCCTACATCTACTACAAGTATAATTAAGAAAGAATGAAATACATCACAGAATTTAAAGAATTATATAATTGACGATGATAAACAAATATACTATTTATATTTATGACCAGTTATTCCGTACGCAGTTCAATCTTTTCGTTCTAAACAACAATAACGGAACAGAACTGATTGAAAGCCTAATCAGAAATTGTGCATAATGCATAGCAATTAGATCACGACCCTGCACAGCCTGACGAATAGACGTCACAGTATGCTAAGAGACACCAGACTTGATTATATTGTATTGTCCGTGAACGATATTAGCGAGGTGATGGTTGATTTTGTTATTATGCATGTTGTTCTTTGTGAGGTCTCGAGCAATGTGATTATTGTGTTGCGAGTTTGAATTTGGTTGCTTTTATCATCAATAGACAGGAGTCGATTTAATAATAAACAAAACTTTTTTTTGTAACATACATATATTTGACAAAATTATCGGAAATCGTACCAATGCTAACATTGATTAATAAAATATTATCTGAATAAAATTCTAAAGAAATGAAAGTAGATAATGGTAATGGTGAAGTAATATAAGATGATGAAGCATTCAAAGAAACTCGCGATGCGGGGCTTCCACCAGCAGACCACATACACTGTACACTGCCTCCGTGTAACACGATACATCCCTTTGTAGGCGACCGATCATTGCATCGAGTTCGTCAAGCTCTCGCAGGTCCGTCCAGGACACAGAGAGGCCTGGATCAGACACAGACAAATGCGGACGTAAATGGAGACACGTCCAGGCTGTTATGGCATACTACCAGGCACTAAGGAAAATAAAAAGGTTCGAATCAATGACCGGACAACGGTAAAGCCGCATATCGTTGTCGTTTCTTATCATTGTTTGTTTATTTTCCCACTGATGTGCTACCTTCGTCTATGTATAGGAACTTCGAGAATGGTACTTTACTCACTGGATTTTGTGTGTTTTTTCTTGTGAATATTGTGTCTATTACTAGTACACCTTGAACAGATTCTACTTTCCTACTATCACTTGGGAGATCACGTGTTCAGTGTTATTCGTTTATTGCATTTGTATGGACGTTTCAATTTATCGATAGATTGGTATTCTAATTAGATCTTTTGACTAATAATTTTAGATTCAGATTAGTTTTTAGTATTAGCTGCGTTAGTACTCGACTCACTGATATCTCACTCTACAAAAAATACTTTTTTTTATATTTTGAAATTGAATTTTTATTTCTAGTATAAGTTGCCATGCCGCATGTAGATAAAGGTAGATTATTTGTTTGCACGTTATTAAAGCATTTAAGTTCACAATGAAGTGTGTAAAGCACTAAATAAACAAAATGCCATTATAGAAGCATCTATTAAAAAATTTACTTGCTCTCCAGTTTCTTATCTTTTGTCAGTATTTACTGACGGTTCATTTTTAATAATGAATCCAAATAATCTTTGTACAAAAAATAAAGATTTTGCAAATAAAAATTCAATGGAGCTTAATTATTCAAGTACTCTTATCTACCTTTAAACTTGATTTTCTAAAGCATGGCTCCCTCTGCTTATATTTTCCCTTCAAACATATAATATGTTCCTAATAAGATACTTACAATTTATTTTCGATGTCCAGAACAAAATCGAACCAAAGATGGATGAAGCTGCGCACCACGGTACAACTCAGCTCCGCGATACAGAAGAAACCGCCTTTGAAAAGAGAAGACTCATTTTTGAAGAGGTTTTCGACTAGGCAGACGCCAGCAACACAGGAAACAGTGAGACCACATGTCATGCCTGCCATTTAACCATTACATTCTACGACCACGACGTCTTTAATGTAATTGAGACCGTGGTCCAACATGTATCGCCACTAGTATCAGTATCGGAAACCACTGCTTGATCCCAGTTCGAAACATTAGTTAAATTCCTTACAAATATGCTTTTGTAATAAAAATATATTAATTTACTATGAAGCTTTACCAATTTTTTATTTATTCATATTGTTGTAAAATTATATTACCTGTATTAGTGATAGTATTAGAATAATCATCACCTACATTTTTATATTAGTGTAATCATTTAATTTTCAAATTGACATAAATGTTTCGTTAAAAATTGTGTTATTGTATCAAATTTATAAAGTAATTGGACGATATATTTTGTGTCTTGATGTCGCATGACTTTATAATAAATTAAATTGTTTTTAGCTACCAAAATTTAAATCCGAAAAAAATGCTTAGGACATTTAATTATTTTCTAATATAGCTGCATGCTCCATCTCTAACTATATTGTTTACCTGCAGGTTGAAGATACAGGGTCGGAAGGTGCTACAGGAGAACCGAGGTCCACTAACAGGCAAAGAAGAAGGAAAGTTCGAGCGCCAAGAACTGTAGTCAATCCAGACGAGAACTTCTACTTCTATTGGTTGTGGCTCATCACCCTTTGTGTGTTGTACAATCTTTGGACACTCATCGTAAGACAGAGCTTCCCAGAATTACAAGTACGTATCTCCAAATTGTAACTTATAAAATAGATTATTTTAAACATATGATTATGCAATGTGCTAAAAATTAAACGAAAAGAGAAGCATAGCTATAGAATAACATAGAAATGAGAATGAACATAGATTGATTTATTATATTTTCACTAGCACTATTCATAAATGAAACAACTTTTAAACGGTTTCATCGCGTTTGTTGTTTTGTAATTTTTAGTTGTTTCATTTAATTATTGGTTTTATAGACGTTTCGGACCCTTTATAGGACACATTCACAATACATATATATATATATATTATGGCAAAGTTTATATTAATTAAATTAAATTATAAAAAAAAAATACATTTGACTTATTTATTTATCCCTGGCTAACGTAATCTACCACCAGTTCCAACTTTAGGAGTCCTGTCTGAGAAGAACTGGCGAAACAAACTCCGACAAGAAAAAGTGAATTGCTCCCTTGATTTAATGTTAAATTAATATTTAATTATAACAATAAGAAGGAAATTAAAGATGTGGTATAAAATAATTTAATTATATGGGTCTGACGTATCAGTTAATTATGGAAAAGAGGTCTCCTGCCTAAAATATTTAGGGACTCGTGATTTAATAAATTATAAAGACATGTATCGTTAAAAAAGTCAGCATTTCAGCTATAAATAGTTGAATCGTTGCCTGTTGAAATATAAAATTATCTATTTCAAATAGATATTGAAAGGAAAATCTTAGGAAAATGGAATGGTTGTAATATTATAAAATGGAAAATGTCGACGTGCTTTAGTTGCGAAATAGATTTATTGAAGACTATCTACCGACCACAATGTGCTGCATGTGTGGGAAGTTAAGGTTAACATTCACATCTTCTTACATAAAGTGAAATTAAATTTATAAAAAAAAATATAAATACTTCTAGAGTTCCGCATCCACGGGAAACCCTATTATTAAGAATCCGTTCTCTATCTATCTGCCCGTTCATCACCAGGCCAGATGGGTCATGAACCGTGATAGCTATAAAGTTTAAAATTTTCACACATGATATCCGATTTCTGTTATTAAGATTTTGTTTAACAACACCAAATAGTAAAAACAGAATAATATAAATATTTAAGGGAGCTCCCATACTACAAACTGCGTTTTTATTAATATATATTTTTTATTGGTAGAGACTTCAACATCGAAATAGGTTTACATACAGGTATGCTATACATGCACCCAAACGCTATAAAACCTTTAAAAGTTGTTTCGTTTAATTTTTACTTCTATTTAAAATTATCAGCATTTAGAATCCTTATAAATTTGAGATGAAATTGTCAGTTAATTTCCTATTAAAAGCTTGAAATGTACCAAATTATTACTCCAAAAAACACCTCATTTCCTCTAATGATACCCTTTAACTATGCAACAATATTGTCTTTATGTTATCAAATACAGCTGAATTCAAATTGCACATCTTCAAATAAAGTGAACTCTACACTGAACACTACTCTAAAAAAACAAAGGTGTTTTATCTAACGTGAAATAACTGCATCAGTCGTTGGATTCAACTCGTTTTATTTCCCAAGACCACCAGCTCAATAAACACAAGAGAAATAGGGGGCCAAGAACACTCCCTTGGGTGACCCCTGCCGATGTTATAAAATGACACCCCGAGAGGATGGAATAAATTGTGGCTCAGTAAAATTACGGTAGACCTGTTTTCCTCAAAGTGATTGGACAAAAGAATGTGAGGAAATACTTTTCATGATATCCTAGAAATACTTTATTGGCCTGAGCAATAATAATAACAATTAGATGCTTAAATATCAGATTGGTGTAGTAGTATATTAATTACACAAATAAATAAACTTTGTTAGTTAATAACTTTCGTTGAAACAAATTTAGCTTATGGGATGTTGCGAGTTCGGTCGAGCAATTGAAAATATCTATAGCATGGATTTATTCTGCCAAATATAATACTACGAATGTAAGTAGATAACTTCTATTTATTGACAATGCATAATGTGCCTTTGTCTATTTAAAGAAATATCCTAATATACCTAAACAGTGAAGTGTAACATCAAATTGCAACTTTCTTTTGTTCAGATATAAGTACAGAAGTTAAATTAAATCTAGGCAACCAAAGTTTTATTTGATCTAAGCATGCAAAGAAAATCGCCATCAAAATATCTTTGCATCCGTTCTTTAATTTCATCTACTAAATTGATTCCGTTTTGACTCGATACCACAACACTATTCGACTGGCTTGGCATCTAATCGATTAGAAATAACTTGTTGATTCCAATCGTTTTGACTCTATACAACACTATTCGACTTGGACATTTTTATAAGTTTTTGTTAAATGATATATTGAAACTTAATAATTAGGTACTTATTGCACTGTAATAAATTTCATTTTTGTAAAAATTTTGCCACAAGCGAAATAGACTCGCGCATCAAGGGTTCCGTACCATTATCCATTAAAAATAATTATATTTGTTTTTTTTCTATGGACATATTAGAAATTTTCGAACTAAATACAATTGGTCGACTATTACGTTAACTTGTAAGGAAAAGTTATATCTTTTAGTTTTCCTTTTACTGCCGTTACATTTGAATTTTTACCAACCACTGTTTAGTTGGTAGAGGGGGGGTGGGGGGACACTTAACTCTAACGAAATTTTGCTCTTTAAAGCTTGACAAACCCCTAACAGTTTACTGAACAGAAAAATGGCCATATTACACCTCCAATATTTTTGAAAGACCTATCCAACGATGCCCCACACTATCGGCAAGATGAAAAATAATGATTATCCCCACTTTAAACGCAGGAGAGGTACCCTAAAAATTTATTTGTCTATAGTTTTTGACTAAACCGCGGACGGACAAACTGAGATGGCGAAACACTAAAACCTATACAAAAATAGGTTTCATCAATACGGCTAGGCACTTCATATTATTTTCAGTACCTACATCATTGATAGATAATCCAATTCTCGCCAACAATACAGATTTCGGAAATATTTTCTATCTTTAACTTACTTATATTTTTGTTGTCTATTTCAAAAAATAATCGTAAATCAATATCCACCTGAATATTATATCACAAATATAATATGTACGAAGCGGTATCCAATATTCCACATTTCTTAACAGTGTGTCGTGTTATGAAATGGCCGAGTATTGGACTTTTTTCGGACACAAAGGCCACCCGTGGCTATTATACGTATCCATGATAACCATTTTTAATCAAAATAGTTGTCGTTGACCGGTGGATGATATAAATAACAAAGGTCTTAAAATATCAACGTAATAATAACAGATTATATGACTTAGGATTTTTTACATTATTGATCAAATAACATTACAGATACATAATAAAATTATACAGATACATGATAATATTATGTGTCTGTAATATATACAAAATTGTGATAACGCTTTTCTTCCTAACGCAGTTGTAAGAATGTCTTAGTATGTTTTTAGATAATTCTAAAAATATACTTTCGCCTAATAAGGCCTACAGTTTGCGATTGCCGGAGAGTTAAAAAGCCAATTAGTACACGTCTCATTAACAGTCGCGGATCGACTAATTTGTAATGTCACAAAAAAGAGGTTCAGTACCTAATCCAGTTGGGTTTTTTAGTATTCCGGTAGTATAAACAGTTATTAGATAACCATGTCTTAATCAGTCAAATATTGAACTTTTCTTTCAATTATAGCAGAAAAACGCAACAGCAATGCTAATATCATGAAACATACTAAAAATAAGAGATATCAATGGACAATTGATATCATTAAAAAGTCTAAAAATATGCATATCTATGCATACTGCATACTAGATTCATCATCATCATCAGCTTATCAATATCACCACTACTAGAACACATATCTTAACTATAGATGGGAAAGAATTGAATAATGAGAATGGACTATGACCACCACGCCGGCCCTTTGCGGATTAATGTGTAATAACGATTACAGAAGTAAACCGGGATCAGGGGCCGTTCCGTGCTTCGGAAGACACGTTAGGATTAATAAAAAATAAATATTTGGTCACGCATCCTATTACTGGCCCTTCCATATTAACTGAAGGCGGTAACCAATGCGCCAACGAGCTCTTTGTACTAATTTATAATGTATAATTGTTCCACTAAATCTTACTTGTATTATCAACAGATCATGTGCCATTATTTTTGGCTGACTTGTGATGGCATCAGTGACGTGGTCTTCGCACTAGACCTTGTGGTGCAACTGCGGACTGGATATCTGGAACAGGGACTGATGGTAAATAGACGCGTCTTAATTACAGGGTCGGATCTAATCATCAGCCCTTTTTACATCCCCACTGCAGGGGCTAATGTCTTCCTTGTGATGATTGAGGAGGATGGACCATTACCCTCCACAATGGACTGTATATGAATTGGGTGGTATTAACTGCTGCAAAAGAAGCCGGAACCAACGGCTTGACGTGTCAAAGTCATCAATATATATAATAAAAAGAACGAGCTTCATACACATTAGGCTATGATGGGATAGACATAGTTATAAATCACTAAATTTATTAAAATAAAAAATTCAAAATACCTCACTCAAACTGTACCTGCTTAATTAATCAATACCAGCCCCCGAATCTATATTTTTACGTATATAGATTCCGGAGCTGGTATTACTATTAACTGAATATCTAATGGAATACATTTGTTTTCTACTTTTAGAAAATAAAAATTGATTCAAAATAATCTCTCGTCCTTCAGGTGTATGACTCAAAAAAACTTGCCAAGCATTACCTGACTTCCCGGTCGTTCCTGCTGGACATCGCGTCACTGACGCCTCTGGATTTGCTGCAGTTGAAAATTGGGACCAATCCTATCATCCGCTTCCCCAGGTTCTTCAAGGTGAGTTAATTCATTGACAGATTCCTCTTATAATGAGGAAAAAATTATCAGTGCAGATATTGATATTAACCAACGTTTTATTTTTCTGTATTTAACCTATTTATAGCGGAGATTAAAAAGAAAAGGGTGTCTTTTTCACTTCACTACGAATGATCGCGCTTAATTTTTGATAACGCTGGGGAAATGCACCGTAAGCCTTAAACCAGGATTCTCCAACCACTCTGACCTGAGAAGCACAGGCTGATGACATGATTGGCCTACTCTAGTAAAACCCGCCGTGGAATATCCTCGGTTGTGCGAAGGATCCGGAATCCAGCAAGGATCCCGCCGGATACATATGATCCCCCTACTTTTATCATCATATTTAATGTCTCCGCCTTTTAATGTCCTCTCTGCCGGAGCATACGCCTTCCATATGGATGGAAACGAATCGAATATGGAAAAAGGAACAACGACGCGGACCCCCGGTTTTTGTCGAGATACTCGTACGTACATTTTGTTTGACATGTTAAAATAAATATACCCGTTTACATATACGAATGAAAACATTCTTGTGTTTTCATTATATAACGCGTGTGCGTACGTGAGCTATCTTGAGTAATATGTAACGCATAATATATGTCGAATCCTTAGTATGAATGCTGTTCTTGGCTACTTTGCGAGTAAGAATTCCTGTGTATCTTTGGAAACTTTATCGGATTCAGGAAACGACGCACTTATTAATCTAAAGCTATAGCCAAACCTTTTGCTTTGTGATTCGTCTCGTGTATTGACATTACTGTGTCTCTTTTACATTGGTCGATGGGGTTTGCATTCTGGATGCGGGCAATTACTGTGGCTCGATTTTATTAGTCGGTCGTTGCTTTATCAATGTGATGTTTATGTTTATCAATGTGAAATAACTATAATACCACTGGTTATATTCAATCCAAATAAAGTGGGGATTATTGAGATTTTCAGTAAAAGCATAGGTCACTGGTATCTTTAGTTGAGCAGAAGTAATGATTTGAGTATACAAGTAATAAATAACCAATATTTTTACTATACAAGAAATTGAACGTAGTAACAACGTACAAAAATTATAATACTATTACTATTAGCTATTGACAGTAATATTTGTTATATGCATCAATATTTTCGTCAGTTGGTTGAAAATATTTGCTTAAGTTATTTTATATACTCGAGTAATAGCGATGACGACTAATTTTTGTTTGTTTAAAATAATCCGTCAGGTAGATTATTTAATTTCTTGCATAATTGATAAATAACGGCTATACATTGAGTGTCAAATGTCACATAACGTCACGTTTTTGTACATTTTCTACAAATCTGTGACGTAGCGAGCTGCACTTCTCATCTTTAATGCCTATTATCTAAGCCATTTCTTGTTTAAATTAAAGCAAAAAAATACCTACGTATACAATATCTTTCTATTATCTGACTGATGGACTAAATGAGTTAAAAATTACCCAGTCTCTATCCCTATTACTTCTACTCGTTTAAGATACGAGTGTCAGTATACAAGTATTACCTATGATTCTAATTATAATAATAATATTTTTGTTTCTAAAGCAACAGTATTTATAGCCTGACTTGTCGAATTGAAGATTACATAAATCAAGACTGTAACAACTAACAAAAAATACTTGTTACGAGCCAAAGGGAACACCAAATGCTACATAATATATATCTACCGGTACCATTTGATTTATGGCAAATCTCAAGGACTAAATAGACCGATGGAAGGGGATGCCGATAACTCTTAAAGCCAAATCTCGGTATATAGTTACGAGCGTAGCAGTAGAATATGTCATCACCAAAAATAAGCAAGACTATCAGAGCATATTTTTGTCGGGGATATTGTAGTGTAAAATACCTATTATGATCTTTCAATACTAGTATAGGCCTCCTTTTTAATCCATCAACAGATGGCGCTGAAAACATGTTTTTAATTACAAAGATTGCAATAAGAATACAAAAATGATGAACAACATTCCTTATTTTACATAGAAGTAACAGAAGAAAGTACATTAAAGGCCTTTACTGCTAGGCAACAATCTATACCAACCCGTATCGAAAAAATATTAAGAACCAAGGAGAGTAGGTGCAAGGAAATAGCATAAAATACATATATCTATACTAATATTATAAAGAGGAAAAATTTACTTGTTTGTATTTGTTTATTTATGATGAATAGGCTCATTATTGGATCAATTTTTAAAAAAAAATTCAATTTTGAAAATATACTAATAATTTACGCGGTTCGCACAGGAAAATAGCAAATAATTAATAAATTAAATTAAATCACCTCAAATCATGAACGAAAGTGAAGTCACTTTAGCAATAAAACAAACCAAAGTAGGAGCTATTCTTATTGCAACTGGCAACAAATTTATAAAGAAAAGAAAGCCAATAGACGGTAAACGGTAAACCAATGGAAGGCAGTTTCGAGAGATAAGTGTGAAGAAGCACGCAGAATATGTTGAGAAGACAACGTCTAAGAAAAGCATTTTTAGATAAGGAGGAAATAAAGATATATTAAGAGCATTATAGAGTAACTCGAGAGAGTGTATGAGCCAGTAAAGTTTGGAGTGGAAATGTGACAAGTGGTCATATTACGAAGTTTGGAAATAAATTTGATACATATATTATATACATGTTTTTATTTAAACCTAATATAATAACACATTATCTTTTATTACCAGTTATTCGATAATTAATAATTGACAAATCTATTTTCGTTCATCTCACTCGTCGAATATCCGAGCTAGCTAAAAAGCTATTCACTTAAAGATTAAATTTTAATTAAATAACCAGTTTGTTGCCGAAAGCCGATGGCTTAATTTTCATTTTAATTGACTAAAATGTATTATAAAATTAAATTATTTTAATGAATAGGTTGAATCTGATAACTGGATACAATGATACTTTTATAATATAGGTTGGCCTGTTACTTTAGCTGACTTAAGCAAAAGAAAGTCTGTGGCGTAGCACTTTTTTAAGGAAGAGTAAGAGTAATAAGAAGTCCAAAAAAATGCACCTTTGAAGCAAATGAATACTTATTATAAATTCTTTCTTGTACACTTGATTGCGGCGCCGTGAGAAGAGTGTTGCCAACCCAAGAAATACAGACTATATTGCCAACAAAGTCATCAATTCGACTGAATATATTTTTGTACGTACGTTCCACAATATCCTTTTAAATAATAAATTGATTTTTATATTTTTATGGGCAAATCTGTTCAAACTTCTGTACTTTATTTCAAAAGTTGGGGATGATTTATTTAAAATAAATTCCAATTCTCTAGTTAAACTTTGTAGAGAGTCGGAATAAAAGTACAAAGAAGTTGTTACTACACACCTTTATAAGGAATATTACAAATAAATCATCTCAATAATATGTTTCCTGTTCTATACACTTTGTTATTTTCCTTTCTCCAATCTTACTGCAAGTTCGTAACAGGAGCAGTAGGTAAATCACTCTCCTGCGTTCTTTCAGTCAGATAGGTATTATCTCGACATTCATCATCACCCTTACACTCGTAGATAAAGAAAAGAAAGAAAGGAGTATCTTAATAAGGTTGGATTGTTTTCTCCATAATTTATTTCAGAAACTGATATTTTTTTTCGTTAAATTCGATAATAATACTTATACATCAGATAATAAAACTTGCATTATATATAACTTCGTTATTTAAACAACGTAAAATAAGTAAAAATAAAAGAAGTTATAATGAAGATAGGGTTTAGAATTATAATAATCAATTTCCTACAGAAACATAAGACTTTTGAGTCATATTAATTTTCAATCAGAATAATGTTTCGTTTTTTACATATAATTATCGGTACATTATACACGAATTTTTATATTTTATTAAAAGAGACGCTAATATGATTGAGTACCTACTCGAACACTAACTCTTTTCTCGTGTTTGTTTACACTTAGAAATTGCAAAAACAATCTAAATACTTTCGTTTTCGCGTCATATTTGTCTAGCAATCGTTCTACTAATGGGTTGATCTTTACCGCACCCGAATATACAAGAAAAACAAACCTCTTTCTTTGTATTAAGTCACTATGTTCAATATAAATCCTAATATTTTGTTGAAGTGAACAGGTGTGGGTCTTATTTTTGTCTTTCGCATCAATACATGTTGTCGAGATCAAATAACCTAAAATTCTATCACACACAAACAAATAAAATGATTCATTAATAATTTACTGATAAATGTAGGTATATGAATTTTCCGAAAAAAATCATTCGTGAACAAAATAGAGCTGCTAAGCGATTGTCAAGTATCTAAAATCGCGTCAAGTATCTACTGTATTGTCTTAGTTGTTAACGTGGCATCTAAAGGATAATAAACCACCAAATTATGCTTTCTTTTATAAAATCGGTAAAGATTTTACTCGATTTCATCTTTGTCAAACTCATAAACCAACCAACTTAACACGTTTGATATTATTATTTAAGTAATTAAAGTGTCCAGAGATAATAATATTACTTCTAGAAAAACTGAATCTCTAGCGGCGAGCGTTAAATAAGTTAAATTGAAACAAATCGTTTCGTTTAACTAGAATTCATGGGAAGAACTACTAACAGTGAAAAATAAGAGGTTCATTTTAAATGAAACTTATTATACATCTATTGTTTACATCTACTTTAAGTATATTGCCGTCTAAAGGCAAAATTATCAGTCATGATATATAACAGATATTCAAAAGCGTCACGTGAAATAACAATCTAATTTAATAAATAACTAGCTCTTTTTCTACTACTTCATCCGCGTAAATTATCGCTTATGTCACCTACTTATGATGTAGCTGAAATAATTTTCATGATCAGATCAATATTTCCGAAGATTACCACCTGCAATCAAACAAAGTTACAAACTTTACTTTTTAAAGTATTAATATTGATATGTAACTAATAATTTTCTGTAACAATAGAATCATATAAGGCAGTGTTTAGTTCAGATTCTTTATAAAAAGAAAGAGACAAAATATATTATTAAAAAACGAAGCAATGCTTACCAATCCTTCAATTAATATGTTTTCAAGTTAAAGAAAAGTTTTTAAATGTACTATTATCGAATAAGCTACGACTGAAGATGGTTAGTTAATGATGCGCGTAAGGGTAGCTCTTGTGGCAAATATATCAACGTCTCCTGTTTGGGTGGTAACATTTTTCTTAAAATACATTTCCGGACAGAAAAAACTGTACCTATTTCCTCAAAGCTTGTTCTGTTTCTTTACGGACTTTTTGGGAGGCATTATATAATAGGATCGAGCTTATGTTTTGTCTGTAAAGAGACTGCCTGACGTTGGAAAACAAGTCATCCTCATTATCAGACTGTCAATGTTCCGCTGAGGCTCGCGCCTTCTGTATGAATAGAATCGAAGGAGAACGGGACAGAAATCAAAACAGTCTTTGCACTAGCAGTGGGTCATTAATATGTGGAAACATTAATAATGATGATGATTTAAGAGAATATCACAGACTATTTATAGATGAATCCGGGGCTCTTCGATCCCTGTAAAACACCATATAGATTTTATTTGAACAACAGAATATGTACTAAATATGCATTTAAAATATTAATAAATTTACGCCACACCATCTAACTGACATGCACTTATAGCGTTCGTTATTTTATTTCTTAATTGCCTCTGTTTACAATCGTTAAAAAAATATGATAAAAAAATTTAAAGCACTTAGATTTATTAATTTAAGTTGATATGATTTTATTGCTCTCAAGTGTAAATCGCTCAAGTTTTATAATTATTAACGTTAACAATGTTTTTTTCCATTATTTTGCAGGTTTACCGAGCAGTTAGCTGTTACTACATCGTGGAGTCCAGAACGGTGTATCCTAATTTCTGGAGAGTAATTAATCTGATACACATCCTTCTGATTTTGGCACATTGGTTTGGATGTTTTTACTTCTTGCTGTCTGAAGCTGAAGGGTTTCAGGTTAGTATTCACTAACACTTGCTGCTCTTATGTTACGAGGAAATAAACATCATTGGTACTGAAAAAAACCTTTGAATTCGAATATACAATTATAAAAACCTTTGAATTCGAATATCCATATAAGTATACTAACTTTCCGCCAGTGGCTTTACCCGCATGGTGATTTTGTTTCATACTATGGATAGATATAACATATTTCTAAATATGTGCCTTTTTCGAACTTTTTTCCCCTTAATTCTGTTTATTTCGCCAGATTGTTTACTTGTTCCTCAAATAAACTTAATGATGTTCCGCTGACGGATTTTTTTCGGGGTTAGGTCAAACGTCTTGCCTCTGCTGTTAGCAACTGTACGAATTGAATGTACAGTCTTTTTATTCGCAATTTATTCTTATTTTACTTGCACAAATAAAAGATGAGTTTAATTACACCCTAATCAACATTGAAAATAATGCTTTTTTCTACGATAAAATTTAAATGAGTCTATTCTGGCATCTAATAGCAAATCTAAAGACCAGAACTCTGGAAATATTTATAGGTAAAGTCTATTGACTCGTTGGGTCACGATATTGTATATTCTTGGTTATATTTCTAGAAGTAAATAACCTTTGCTATCCTCTTTCCACTGCATTATTTTTAATAAATCTCGAATATTTTAACATTGCAAGCGCCATTATTATGTTGGAAAATCCAACAGGAAAGTAATTTTATTGAACATGTTACGATCATGATGTGATTCTAAAAGCTATGTTTTAGCATAAATGTTATACCTTATCGACTCATATCAACATCAATTTAGCGACACCGATATTATATACTGGTCCATATATTATGACAAAATGCACATTTGTATGCGGGCATTGCCTTAAGAGGGTTGACAAAGGGGATCGTTGATTATTATTATTATCATTTGCTAGGGTAATGTAGACAATGAAACCTTTTTATATATTTCGTTGGAATATCATACAAAAAAAATCCTTTACTTTCTTATTTCTATGTGTCACGTCTGACTGAGTTTAAAATTTTGTGCACATGTAAGTTTTTATCACAAACACGGTCCTCTAACTTATAGGTATTTAAAGGAATTTTGAACTTTAGGACTTTAGAAGGGTTAAATTGTAAATATTTGCATGCGTATGACGTACTTTTTGTGTGAATATGAACACTTTGGAATATGGATACTTTGTAGTTATTTAAAAAATAAATAAAATTATTAATATAATCGCAATAGTGCCGAAATATCGGGGTCTTAGTAAAAACAAGTTAATCTCGTAAAGAAATATTGACTATATCCATTCCTTTATCTAAGTAAATACTATGAGTACAATAATAGTTTTTTCCTGCAGATATAAGATAACTTTCTTCGTAACAATTGACTAGAAGGTTAAACTAATTTATTAATACATCGTAGATAAAACAAAGACAATCCCAAAATAAAAGATGAATTAAAAGAAAAACTATTGAAAAAGTCTGGCAGAGATATCATGAGTACGAATGTTTGTAAATGTTTTGTTTTCATTTCATATTCTTGATCAGTGTGATGAGGTCAAAACATGAAACATGGGACAGATAAGTAGGTTTGAAAAAGCCTTCCCCCTTCTATTTTTGACGGGCAAGAAAAGCAAGAGTACGATTGACTTGACTTTTATATGACTTAAAAAAGGAGGTTCTTTATTCGACTTTATACTCTTTTTTTGTGTTTTTTACGCGATTTATCGCCGAAGTAATGTTTATTGGAAACTTAAACTGCACTTCACTGTTTGAAGTATTAAGTTGGTTCTATATTTGAAAAATGTTTTTATTTAAATGATCTTAGAATACATGTTCCTAGGTTCCTGGATTATTATTATTTTTTTGTTAGAAAATATACTACCAGGCTAGTCCAATAAGAAATTATGAGAATCAGATAAATTGAATTTTATAAAATTTCGAAGAAAAAAAGAAATATTAATAACATTATCAATTTAATTAGAAAGATATTCATATTTTCAGTAAAGTTATTACTATCTTACGTAATTACCATACAAAAAAGATGTATCTCCAAAGTTATTTTGGAAGAAATTCTACCATAAATTCGAATATGTAAAATTTTCACATCGATTGTGATTATATATTTTTTATTGTTATTTTTCTTGAAACTGCTATATTTTTTAGAAATTCTGAATTGTAATTTCATAAGTTCTAATCACAACCATGTAGTCTTGCTTTAAACAAAAAGCCATCAGAATCATTACCCTGATATTAGAATTATCCCTAAGTACTACCTTGAACTCGAATAAGTTCTCTTTTTCAGGTTGCTTAAACAATGTCGGAAATGAAAATGTCACTGTGAGACATCTCATTTAATTGCCATTGTAATTAAGCGCCTTGACGGCAATAGGACTTCATTTGATGGTAATCACACATTCATTACGTACAGGAAATGAAGGCTATTCTCTTTGTGACACATGTGGTTAGCGGTTGCTTCTATATGAGGACAAAAACATATAATATATTTTTTGTATACTACGGTATATTAGTCAGCACCAAACATTTACTGCTTACTTATATTCCACGTCCAAGGTTAACAATTTTTATCTGAAAAATGCTTGAAACATTCACCACGTACCTACCCCGAGATAGAACTCGAACCCACATCCTTGATAATTTTTTCAAGCCTCACAGTTGCTTTTCGCTTCTAGTGTAACGTATTTTCATCAATACTCAGGTAATTCACCCAAACAGCCGAAAGAGTTTCCAGTAGCTCAATGGTTAGAGGAGTCGCTCTGCTTGTAAAAAGTTGTCGGTTCGAATCCCATCTCAGGTTACCTGAGGCTAATGGATTTTCTAAAGCATTTTTCATTATCAAATATCAGTATATCTAGTTACTTAGCGACATCTAGTTTGATTACGGGAACTAATTTTTTTAAAATACTTTCTCATTGATTTATTATTATTTATTGATTTTGCATTTACAATGCTAAACTGAAACATATACTTAATGAAAATTGCTTAAAAAATCAACTCTCTGGCACTCTGGCACTCGGAGATGGGACTCGAACACTTTTGTCCTTTCGCAATCCGAGCGACTGCTCTAACCACTCATCTTTCACTATCCAGGCCTTTGCTCCCCAGTCCCTAACAGGATTGAGGACTTTTTCAAGCACTTGTTACTTTTTCGCTACTACAGCGCTTTCTTTATTTTATTTTATATAGGGTATGGTCCCTAGAGAACGTTTAATTGAATCTCGATTTATATGATGACACGGATAAAATTAAAGACAAATTGAATAGTAACCAATGGTTAATATCGTAATATTTCAATTCCGCATATTTCCACTCACCATTGTCATTTCGCGATAAAATAAAAATATATGTACTTTTCAATAAGTTTCACCCCAATTCATAGGTTATATCGTTAGATAATTCATTTAAATATTTAGATAAATTAACTTACTTACCATACATTTATTCGCTGCAGCACAACGAGATTATCAATACCAGGAGGTAGTTTCGTAGTTCACTGACAAAACCTAGAAGTTCCTTAATATTTTTGGAGACCGCACTTTTGATGATAAACTGTTTGGATGTCATTACACATTTTCATAAGTTTTGCTTTTATAATTGCATAAAATATTATCAAAAAACCAATGCCATAATTATGCAAACATGAAAATATTGACTAGTTACCGGGTACTGGGACGTTACCGGCAATACGTACTTCTACCTTAGCCAATGTCCACCGCTTATAATGTAACTACAAATCTTTTTTCTATTTTGACTGTACTCTAAAAACCACATTTTGTAGCTGTTACTGGATCTTAGTAAGGTAATGAAGACAATATTAATAAGGATAACAATGGATAACTAAGTAATAAGTATTTACTATTATCGTATAGAGAAAATATTTGATTGTTCATTTGGATCATCGAATAGGCTCTCAAACTACTGTATCACAACTAAAGTAAAAACTAATTCAAGGAACTTATATTCAAGTCGGACAGTTAATATTAATAGCCTAACACAAAACCCTCCTCCTTTGAGGAAGTCGATGGCCCAATGAGTAGCGCATTTCTTTTTGATGGAGGCATTTTTCTTAGGGGACGATCTTTGGATAACCTATTTAGTATCTGAGCTGTTCTGTGCTTTGGGGGGCAGTTCAGGCTTCAGCACTGGGCAGTGTTATAACAACACTATTATATGTACTTAGTTTAAGTCAGTAGAAATAACTTTAAAACTTTAAATTAACAGGGCGATTGGGCATACCCTCATAGACCAGGCGATTACGCTACTCTCACTCGAAAGTATTTGGGCTCCCTCTACTGGTCCACACTGACGCTCACAACTATCGGTGACCTGCCTACTCCAGAAACCAACGCCGAGTAAGTACCTAGTTTTTTTTATTTAACTGCGGCGTGGCGATATCGGCTTTAATAATTTCGGAATAAAGTCGCTATTTGAATAAGTTCGTTTTTTAGATACGAATACATTAATAAAAAACCTCGTTTAAAAAGTGGTTACTGAACCACGGAAAACATAAGAATATAATTCTATGTTTTTCTTTAATTTATTTTTTTTCTTGTCGAACAACTAACTTACTTCACACCTTGGAAATTGTAAAACACATTAAATATTAGTAACAAAAACAAATAAGTCTAGTAATACTTTATATTACAACTATCAAAATATTAAGTTTTGTAAATAAATATTCATAAAATGTTATAGAGAAATATGACTGATATAAAAATGAAATAGTTTGGATAAAAATTTGTTTCATTTAGCGATGAATGATTACATAAAGTTTCACCACGCCAAACTAAACTAGTAAAATTGTTGTTCTTAATTTTATTCTTAGGTTACCATCAACATACATGCTATTTTCGTAAACTATCGAATTCTCAAAATTACTTAAAGCTCTCTAATGTGTTATTTTAAAACTTTACCGCGAGTTTTTACATTCAATTAATATCAAAACCTAAAAAAATATACAATATGAAACTCATAATAGAAGAGTATTATATAAACATAAAGGTGTAAGTTTATATACGTATATAACATTGAAATATCATAAGCTTACTTAATTAATAAGGATTTGGCTACTACCACGGGCAAAAATCGTTATTCAATTATTAAATCCTCCGCGATGTTTGAATCGATTTCGGAACATTAAATTCCCATCAGAATGAGATATTCACATAGATAATTTTCAAAGCTATATCAGAGGGAAATGTAATCGGTAAGGATTTTATCGAAAAAAAGTGAATTCGAGACTAAATTTACTTACAAAAACTTGAAAATATTGTAATAATACAAATGCATGGTATGGACACAATTACCACTGTACGGAAATATTTAATTCGATTACTCAATAAATATTAAATGGCAACGATGATTTAGATGAAAGCGCTTTGATAATTTTGACTGTATAATCAAGTCGCCATTTTTTTAAATGGCAAAACAATCATACTAATTTAACAGTTGATACTCGTATTATAGAAAAATAAATATGTTTTAATATTATTAGCATTCAACCTGTATTTCGACGGTTATCAAGTTATTTGATGCAAGCGACAGTTTTTTTCGATACTGTGTTATATTGTCTGAATTTGCCAAAGTTTGCTGATTCCAATCAATTAGATGGACAACTACAATTCTTTGATTTGTTATATCTTCTCTGATATCAATTCAAAGTAGGTTTTATTTAAAAAAAAAGGTAGGTTTTATTGTTGTAGGTTAAAAAAGTTTGAAGTATGGTTGTCAACATACAATTAGAATAATTATATTTATAGTTCACATTCATTACTATTATCCTGTAAAAGATTCCTTGTGGATAAAAATTCAAAGGTATTGTAAACTGAAAGGAATTGTAACCGTTATAAATAAAAAAATATATGCCATAAGGTGAATAAGATAAGCAAAAGGTTTTTTTGTAAACCTAATTAGGATTCTTGTTAATTATAATCGAAACAGAGGATCTATCCCATTTAATATTAATTTAAAAAAACGTCTAAGATTAAACAATTAAAATTATATTATATTCATGAAAAATACAATACAAATCAGGGATAAATCTTATTTCTATCAATGTAAAAGAAGTTCTAAATTTAATTATTTTCCTTTACCTTTCCATCTGAAACTGTACTCTTTCTAGATTAATTTTAGTGAAATGTTTTGAAACGAAACTTTCTCTGTCTAGTCAAAGATAAGTGGCAATTTACTTGATGTTTTTATTGAACATTTACTTAAGAGAGTGCATAACGAATATGAATTAAACTAAATTGTGAAAAAGATAAGTAAACTCTAATAAATATGAAATAGCTAGGTAGATACCGTAACAGCACGTCAATTGATACAAAACTGACAAACTCCTCTAATCCATTTTAAACCTTAAGACAATGAATGTAGATTTTAAACCTTAATGCAGGAAATTGACATGTGGCAGCAAGATAAAATATTAATAACCATATAATTTTTTAAACAAATTTATCAATGTTACCTCTAATTTTAAAACATGTCTAATCACATCTCGTAATTTTTGTCAAAATTAATAAATAATTCGTTTTTAAGGCAATCATAGCCATTTTCTAGTAATTAATATTTGCTAGTCTTTCTATATAAACCATACTCGTGTGCTAGGCCGGCAAAACTATTGCTATGGTAGCAACAATGAACTTAATTCATTTTGAAGATTAAGATGAATAACAGAAAAAAACAGAACATTAAAACAGTACTTTTCGAAAACTCAATTAAACAAAAATACTTTACAATCACAAAACCATAAAGTATAATTTAAGCACTTTACCATTCATCTCCTTTCCTTTGACTAATAATATTTGTATACTTGCTGAAACAAATCTATAATAATGACAGCTCATCCAGAAATATTTTAATGAGAAATATTCTCATTAAGTCGAGAAATACCAACTGGCATTTCCTAATGACTAAATAAGTCTGGGAATCATTAAAGCTGCGAATACAGAAGTTTAATTACAAGCAATTAATAACGGGTTGAGCTGTCAATATTAGAAAGAAGGTCGCAATAAATATGGCCATTTATTGGTAATGAAACTAAACAGTACTATCATAATATTCTTATGGTTTTTTCTTGTCCGACCTTTTTCTCGATTTCTTAATTACCTTAATATTATTGTGTTGCTAATAAACAACATTATAATTTCTTATCCAGTTTTAAATAACTATAATAATGAAATATGTTTTTTCGATTTATATAATAATCCATTACCATTTCCCTAACTCCGTCTATTTTTATAACTACAGTGATACGACTAAAACCCAAAGCCGATGAAACAAAACTTTTCATACCTTCATTTCAATTGGAATTCTAACAACGAAAAGTTTCATGAGCAAAACATTCACAATTTAACTTCACTACTAGTTTAAAATGTAGTATTTCTCTCATATGTCAACCATATTTGTTTGAGAATGTAGAAACAACAGTAAATGTTAATGTTAAGATAAATGACCATAAAAGTAACCATTACGCGGCAATATCTAAAAAAAATCATAATCAAACTGATGACATCGTTTTACTTATTCTGCCTGTAAACTGGTCTATATCGAACTGAACTAAAAAATATATATTGATAAGAGACGCAAGAAATTTGTCATTTGTTACAAAATAAATTAGATATGTAATTATAAAACTAATAACTATATATGCATACTTCTTTAACATACCACACTTGAAAAATATCTACCAACAAATGAATGCGTGTACATAAGCAACCACTATCTATTATTAATAATTTAACCACTATCGACGTAATATTACGTGTTGTTAGAACAGTTGCAACTTTATTTTTGACAATACTTATAAATAGTACTTATAGCTAATTAGATAAAGTATTTTTTTCTCAATTAGTGGTACCTATTTAAAGTTATACCTAAAAATTTGCGCTCTACCCTTCTATATAGAATCTTAGATTTTTTTAGTTGTCAGACGTTTCAGTGAGTCGGTTCGATTACCGCCTGTGCATCTACATTTATTAACAAGTACTAACTGAACCTGGATGTTTTCTTAATAAAGTAGTTTTAACAAATGTTGCAAAAATATTTGTACAGATAACGATTCTACCTCTAAAACGTATTATCTCTTTAGACTGTAACATAAACTTTTTATCTATAGCGCACGAAATACCAAATAAAACTGGCAAAACGGAAAGAGATCACAGTCAAAATATTTTATGAAAAGTTTATATAATTAACGATCCATCAAAATGGAATTATACATAAGAAAAAAATACAAAACTTCGACGATCAATACAGAATGATGAACTTTCGCACCTGATCTAAAAAGTTGTTAATTAACTCTAGTAAATTTCTTCGAAGTTCACTCAAAGAATTCTAGTCGATTGCGTCGCAAAGTTTTCGGAACCAAGGAAACGAACGAAAAGAACAATTTTTAAACTTTTTATTGGACTAAGTTATATTTAATCTTAATAAAAATATTGTCAGTAAATTGCTTATAATTCACTAATTAATAATAATTCATGTAGTTTTAACCTGATTTTATATAAATGACATGTACTAAAATTAAATATAATCTCATTAAATCGTGATTATGGACAACATATTAGACATATCTTTGTATACTCTAGAAAGCGTATGTTAAATCGATATATGAAATTTTGGTATCTTGAAAGTGAAGTTTTCAAAAAAGCTCTAACTTTTTTTGAAAACTTCATATACTTTTAACTCTAATTCAACTGTAGAAAAGATGTTTTGTTTGGTAAAAAAAAATAGAATTTAAAAACTTAAATTACAACTTATAAACTAATTATGACCGTGTGTGATATGATGTACCATGTTACATTTTGCACAGAATTCTGTAGCTTGTTATAATCCGTACATAACCATGCAAATCTTTGGAATTAACACTGAGGTTGTTGTTAGCACCCACGGAGGCCCCAAATTTCTGCCGCGCCGCGGGCTCAAGTCTCGCCTGCTGCAGTTCAGATCCAATCGAGGGTATGTCTCAAGAGGCTGCAGACAGAACGAAATTGAACTAAACTAATTATGTTCGCTCGTTCCGTCTAAGCCGGTAATGCGTTTGGTCAGATCATTCAGCGTGTTTTCTTTATGTAACTTTATTTTTTTTATAAAAAGAAAATCTTTCGTTCTTTTATTTTTGTTATAACAATCTAATAGTAATACATAAATACATAACTTAAGCACTATTTTTAAACCATTCAAACTAGTTGTCATGTTATAAGCATAAAAGAACGTGAATCTGATTTTGGTACCTGTAGAACGTCTGATTTTTTCGGGATAGACTTTCTTTTTTAGAAAGACTACTTTAAATACTAAATAGTGACCCAATACTTACTACTGAATGAAATCGGTCTTAAAGACCTACTGACCTTTTC